AAAGCGGAAAGATATGATTTTTTGTTCGTATTGAATAAATTGAAATAATACTTAACCGATTTGAAAAATTCTATAATCGCTGATTTCCGTTTTGCACTACTACTGCTTATTTATTACTTCTTATGCCACTGTGTTAAGTTGACTGGAAGAGATCTCTTTTAGAGATAAACTCACCTTTGTTTACATTGTTTCTAATTGTTATTGTTACTGTATGTTTCAGTGCAATAAAGAATATTAATATGGTTAATTTTTCTATAGAAAGCCACAGTATTAGCTAATAACATGAACTGTGTTTTAGCAAAACCGGGCTTGTCAGTAATAAATAATTATTTTAATTTTTATCTATTACATAAAAAGATGTGCCTTGACTAATACAGATTAAATCGTTGCGGTATAAAAAGTTAAAATTTTGGATAATTAGGTATAAAGCAATTTTACTACGTGAAGAAATTTTTTAGAACCGTGGAGAAAACCGTTAAACAACACAGCAATATATTTGCACGGTAAGATATTATTACGAAAAAAACCTTTAGAATTTCTAGAATATCGGAAAATCAGTAGGTAGTATATCTAATTGTAAATTCCCTATGTATATATTATTTGAATATGGTTCGATCATTACTCGTAATTTTTCTTGGTATTTTTAATAAAAAAATATGATTGTTTTATTAAAAAATATAATTTTTTTATTAAAGAATTATAGTTGTGTAGCAATTTTTTTTATACTTATTATGAAAAAACGTGAAAATGTTACATTATGTTTTAATGTCAATTAAAAATAATTATAATTATAATACTATAGATACTCTTTACTATAAATATTTGTGACAAAAGGCACGGAATATTAAACAAATAAAGAAATACTTCATGTTATTAAAAAATAATATTAATAATAGTAAAAATTTATATATAAATTTTTAAATTATAAAATTCTCAATATAGAACAGTTATTGTTTTTTTTTATGCAACTTAGAATAGAAAACTAGGTCCTACTGTGTTCTATTATTTTCGAATTTGTGAAAAATTAGGTAGCATCACGCACTCATAAATAAATATGTTAAACCTAACGGAGGTGTTGTCAGACAAATGTTAAATTTATTTATAGTGGGATCGTAAAAATCAGGTACACGGTTTAAAAGCATTTCATTTCAGAATAGTGGCGCGGGCAGATAATGTTGTTGCGCTGTGATAGCCGCGGAGTGTGGATGCATGTACGCGGCCCGCCCCAATAACAATAAATTTTGTGAGGCGTTTGAAGCACCGAGCGGACACTTGCGTTCTTACCAATGTTACACAAGATCGATTTTTTTTAATAAACATATCTATGAAAAAAAATTATAAGAATATTATTGGATAGCAGAGAAAGATTTCTAAAATTGTAATTTATGATTAAAATTGCTGCAGAAATGAGGTCTTGTAAAATGTTAAATTTATACTGAATTAAAAAAAAAACCACTATAAACTTTTTATAAAAAATAAACATCTTTGACTCTGAATGTATATTATTGTTTGGTTACATAGTAATAATGTTAATATAATATCCTTATTTACTTAGAATGCTTGTACTGATAACTTCAATACTATCCATATACCAACAACTGTATCATAACTGCCTTTTCGTTTTAAAGCCATATTAAAATCTGCATCTTCTTCGTTTTCACACTAAAATAAGCAATAACGTTTTTCACACATATCTTTGCACGATACTAAAGGATATGACATCATTCGCACATAAAATTCACATATTATTCATATGCAAATTGACTGAGCAATCATAACATAAATTCTTTAATATGCCCACTCTGAACAACCTTATAACGGAGGCCAATAAAATAATGTTCCCTGCAATAAGGACCGAATCGAGATTTCGCGGTTGACATTCAAAATTAGCCTTCCAAGCCAACTGCAGAAGCATATCGAATATACACTTTTAGTACGTTTTTTTACGTTGCAATTTATAACCGTATTCTTCAAATATTATCTTTTGCATTTAAGTATATAAAGTGTAACTCGAATCAGGACAGATTGCCATAAACAGATTAAAATTTAACAACCTTTGGTTAACTGTCCCAACGGAAACGCTATTTCAGATATTGGGTATAATAAAGTAAAGATTTATCTAAATATGCGACACGGAATGATGTTCGAGAAATGCATCATTAAAATTTTGTGTTCTTGACAAATTAAAAGAGGAATTAATTTAATATTTCAAATATAATTATTATACTAAAGATGTCACATAATCAATAGATTAACCAATTAAGATTAAGAGAACCGGAAACGAAAGCGAATCAGGTTTCTGAAGATAAATCATAAAAAAAAAAATAGATAAAGTATCGTAGTTTCCCATAAAATCATGAGCAGATTCAAAATGTAAGCACATTAAGTTATCTGTCGAATTATCTCGTTGTGGGCTACAATATTTATTTGTTTCTCACTCACGACGCCTCTAAGGTGATTGTGGGTAGAGTATTCTCTCCCAATTAGGTGGTTATTGACGTTTTACTGTTATCAAGTTAATCTTGGATCGTTGACCCATATTTATAGTTGTGACTATAAATATGGGTTCTACTGTTATTGTTAACATAAATTATTATTACAAAAACATTTGTCTCTATTATATACTTATATTTATGATAAATCAAATATATGATTTATAAAAATTCTAATATGTTACGTAAATTTTGTGACTTTGTTTTTGCAAATCATTTATTCATCATGTTGAATTATATTATTAACGTTATTATATAAGAGTATTATACTTGAAAATAAAATTGCTTGTAAAATATAGCGGCATTACTACACATACGACAATATCGATACAGAGCCTAAAGTCGACATTTATCCCAAAAAGGGAAGCTGTTAATAGAGTCATTCAACGTTACCGGTCGAATTATCTACAAAGAGAGAAGGCAGCTCGGATCGGTCGGAAATATAAATTTATTTTGTGGTTGTCGCGGAGACACGGGCGCCCGCGCCTCTATCTCGCCGCGTAATCTTGAACATTGGCGTTAAAGAATTTAAATTATACGCCGATACAAATGAACGGGCGACCCCGGCTTATTTATTGCCTTAATCCAAATTATATCGACTAGCTTTACTTGATATCAGACACATTGTCACGTGATTTGTACTATTACAGTGATACCGGCTTGTTATTGGATTATTATAAGCTCATATTACTGCTACTCATACAAGTTAACAACGCTAAAGTTATGTGTGCTATGGAAACCGATATAATTATAATCCTATTACTTTCTACGCGTCATAAAATTTCTAATTTGTGTGAAAAGAAACGCAAACTGTTTTTTCCTTGTGTCCTACAAACACAAACTTAGTCGGATGTTTGTTTTTTATTAGGATATTATAATTTAATGAAATGATCGGAAAATTTTAATACGTCTAACAGTTTTAGCAATAAATTTTCATATATGAAGATTAAGTCGTTGCCCTTGCGTATATCAAGTGAGGTTTCAATTCTGTCCTATAAATTCCAATTACTAATATTTCTCTTCTCGGAGCACTAATTAACTGTAGCAACCAATTCGCGCATGCGCAGCAATCGAACTCTGCCTGGAGACACCATTCGTCTTGCTACTATACTCTTCCTTCAAACACGTAGACTTGTGTACAGTGAGAATTGAAAATACCACGAATTAAATGTCTGACATGTTAATAGATATATAGTTTATATATAGGTATAAAAAACTTTTACCTAAAAAATATTAGTTGTTTACTATAGCTAATAATTTTTAGCTACGCAAATTTGTACCTATTCCTTTTCCACGAAGAGGTCGACCTGACAGAGTATATTGCTAGCAATGGGGCTACTAATCCCTATTACTAACAATTCCTTCTCCCCCCATGTGGCTTGAGTTGTTCTATAGAGCTCAAACCACATTACACAATATTATAAAAATAGACATAAATTATAATTTATACACAACAGAACTCTATTACTTAGAGCTTAGTTTCTTAAGACAATGAATGAGCTACTCAGGAATAAATATAACGATTTTTAAAATTTATTATTATACATATCAGGTCTATAATGTTATAACTCTATATTAGTCAAGCAAATTTATTACAGGATAACTTAATTTCAATGCTTATATGCTAATATGAACGATGCAATCAACTCTATTAAGACAGTATATTTAGGTGCACTCTCTCAATCCTCTATGCAACTAGATGGTCTAGAAAATTTTGTGTAACTAAAGAATGTTATTTGATCACTGAAAACACTGAACACATAAATACACTTTGAATTTATTTTCTTTTCAAAAACTTTACCTCAGCCCAACAAGTTCATAAGGTAGAAATATCTAATTGTTATTTATATTCTAGATTATAGAGAAATTATTGTCTTTAGCGAAAGAGGTTTGTTTGAAACGAAGCATTTGGCGTTCCATTGTTTCTGCCTACCCTAATGGGAGACAGGCGTGACAGATATGTATATATGTATGTATTGTCTTTAATATTTTTTTTTTTAAACAACTTACCTCTTTATAACATTTTATTCGCTCTTCACTGGTTGCCTAAAAGAAAACGAGCCTGCTATCACCATATGAACCAAATAATTCTTATATTTTTGTAAACATGAAGGTTTGTAAAAATGTCTAGATATTCGTTACTTAACTACATTTAAATGTCTAATCTTTGAATGAAATATAATATTTTCTTTAACAGTAAAATTACTGGATTGATTTGAGTGGAAATTTATAGATATAAAGTACATGGAGAATAGGTATATTACTCTGTAAGTCACGAACTACCAGTTTTATCACAATTGATATTGTTCTTTATTATGAAATAAAATCTTAAATTATTAACATTTGGAAAATTAAAGATTCGAATATTCATCTTTTAGCAGCATTAAAGAAACATGATTTCTAAAAATTAATTTATTTTCATCATAAATTCACAAAAAATAATAATAATTAATTAAATAGTAATTATAAGATATACCTAATAGGCAATAAAAAGCAAAACAAGTACGAGTAATATTCGTGCCTTCGGGGTACTTTAACATTTTTAATTGAAACAGTTCTAAATCTTAAGGACAAACATGAAAATAAATTCTGTAAATTTGCTCTATTTATGTCTATAAAAGTTTTCTTTGTACCAAGTTTTACGATTCTATGCATTTTCTAAAAGTATTTCTTTTTATTATGGTTACAATATACCATTATGTTGATTCCAGCTAGATTAAAAAATTTGAGGACAATTTCAAAATATTTAACAATTCAAATATTAAATCTTCGATTTTTAAGACGTACCTACAGATAGACAGATTGACAACAAAATTATAAGTTATTACCTTTTGTATACGGAACTACCATAACAAATAGGTATTTAATGTTAATTTTGGTTCGTTAACTTAATACGTAATTTACGTTTCTCTTCTAAAATCTTTTTTAAATCGTTTATTTCTTTAGAAGACGCCGATTCAAAGGTGACCTTCCCTCTTATATTCTGTTTTCTAGATAATGAACGCTGAGTCATATAATTTTTAATGTAAATTTTGGTATTTTCTAACTCTTGTTTTGTTACTGTCTTTTGTTCCATGATGATTCTCCTTTTACTTTCTAGTTCTTCTTGTAGTCTAATTTTAAATGAACTTAGTCTTTCTTGTAATTCTGCCATTGACATTTCACATAATAAACCCAACCCTGAAGTTTCCGTTAAATCTATAATTCTAGAAAGTTTAGCTTTCTTTGCAATCATATCTAATATTTTTATCTCTTTTATCATAGTAACTTTTTGCTCTAATTCCTCTTGTTTCTCTTTCATCGCTTTTTCTAGCAATATTTCAGATTCTTTTTTTAATTGATAAGCAGTTGCCTTCTTTTTAGCTAAAATATCGTTTTTTGCATTAATTAAATTAAGTTCCAACATTGAAAGCTTTTCTATTTGCTTACGATTTTTATCCATTTCAATTTTCTTCCACCTCTCAATTTCTTCACTCCACATCTCCTTTTCTTTAAGAAATTTCTCATAATTCTTTTTATTTGCATCTTGTATTTTCTTTTTCGCAATTACAGCTTCTTCATATGAGATTTGACCCATTAAATGTTTTCTTTCTATGTCAAACAATCTTTTTCTTTCTTTCTCCTGACGAGCGTGTTCTTGTAATTCTTCAAATTTAGTTGTGTTTCTACAGGTAATCATTAATGTTTGAAGCCATTCTACTTCTTCTTCTTCAGCAAGCTGTATCCTTTTATTTATTCTTTTAAGTGTAGCTGTTGTTTCCTTTACTGGAGGATGAGAATTTCGAAAATTGTAACTTTTATTCGGTTTCGAAAGTACTTTGGTTATTTCATTTTCAATTTCGTCTCTGATACTAGAAATATTTTTGTAATATCGACTAGATTTTGCTTGTGCATAATGAAAATTATTATTTTTAGCATCATTCAATAATTGTGAAGCTTTTTGTTGATTTTTTTCATGAAGATATTTTAATCGTTGATCAATGACGCTTTTTGTAAGCATTTTTTTACTTTTAACTAGCATAGAATTTGGAGGGGTTGCTGGTAGAGAATTTTCAACTACAGGAGAGTAAAATTCTTTACATTTTCTATTTAAAACATTTGGCTGTATTGGTATTGTAGGTGGCTTTTTTTTTCTACTTTCCAACTTTTTCAAATATTCAGAATAGTTATGAGCCATTTCACTTATGTGTGGCTGCCAAGTAAAAAGAGGATTTATAATTTTGTTAGTTATGAAATTTGTATCATAAGTAGTTTGAGCAATTTGTGATATTAATGGAAGGATTTCACTACTAAAAAATTTCGTAAATGTATTCAATAATGGTTTACTTAAATTAAAAAGACATTTGTAGAAGTAACTTGTAACTTTAGGTTCAATTTGGAAAATAACAGCATGTAGAATAATCATAAAATAATCCTGGTCTTCACCTGTCAATTCTTCAGATACATATAAAGCAATTTCTTTTAAAAACTGATCATGTCTTTGTATTCCTAGAAAAGATTCAGTAATCCATGAAATCTTTGCATCTTCCGTATTTTCTGGGCATTTTTCAATGTATGCTTTCATATATTCATATGGAGAAACAGCAGAAGCTGCATAATCCATTATAATATTTCTTAACATTTTTACATTTCCTGATGTATAATAGTAAACCATTTTCAAAATAGTTTACTACGGATTTTTATAATAGAAAATAAATCATAACGTGACGAATCGATATAACAAATAATTTTAGTGACAGATGACATTTACGTACTTTTTTCTCTTAATTATCCTTTTTGAAAAGTATACAGCCAGTTGTCGTTTAATATTAAGTAGAAACTATTGTATTAACTTATTATATATCCTGATTTATCTTAAGATACATACTTTTGATACATTTAATAAACGTATACTAAATACGTTTATTAATTGTATGGAAAGACCTTAATTTACGATTAATCTTAATTTATGTACAATATTTTTTATTTTGCAAACAAGCTAATAGTGCACATCACAATGGACATCATAGAACATACATTGTTCTCCATGCGTTGTTATTCCTAAATACTAAGGTGTTATGCCTCTGTGCTTTGTTATTTCCATACCTTGTCCTAACATTCAAACTTCTATTAAAAGAAAGTTCGGTTTCACATCGTTCTCTGTTGTAAATCTTATCATAATTTGGTTGCTTGGTTATGTTACTTTTATTTTTATCCTTAATCAATATATTATATATATATAAGAGAATGCTGATTGATTAAACTATATGTTAATATACAGCTGAAACCTCTGAATTTAGAATCTCCAAATTTTGCAGAAAGTTTCTGTGAATAGCGTAGGTGGATAAAACGAAGGTTGAAATATATGCTTATTAGCTTTTAAAGTATTTACTTCTAAACAAGTGAAATAGGGGATTAAAGTTTGTATGGGAGTTCTGTTATAATTGAAATTAGAAGTACTTTAGTTTTAGATTTCTAATTAGAAATAAATTAAATGCTCTTTTGCATTTTTGTAAATATACCCCTAAAGAAGTGAAGTGAGATATGAAAGTTTTACAGGACTTTTGTCATTTTTAAGTTAGAGGTATGATTATTTGTTCTTAGGCTTTTGATTAAAAACAAATCGCTTTTAAGTAGTTTTGAAAATTCTATTCTTAGATGATAATTTGTTAATTTAAGTTAGGAAGGCGAATTATTAAGTTGAGAAATAAAGTGTTTCATTATTTTTGAAAACCAAATACCTCACGCGAGCAAAGTTCTGGACAAACTAATAATACATGATATGATTAATAATGTTTATTTGTTACCTTTCTCATATGTATATACAAATAGACGTAAAGAATATCCAGGCTTTTCTAATAGAGTGATAGCATATCCCTTTCATATTTTTTTGTTCTGTAACCGTTCTGTCGTTTCTATCAAAAAATGGGGGCGGTTAAAAAATGTTTCGTAAGTAAGTATCCTATATCGTGTATCGTGTATAAGAATCAGGTGTATTTAATTAAGTAACCAATCTGTGTTTTCGCCGGGCTGTCATTAATCAATCATTCTAAATCTATCCAAACCTTTTATTGGACAGCTCTACACTTCGGTGAGTTCCGATACGCTCAAAATGCAAGTCACACAGGACCTCTTAAAATATAATAATCGTGTTAAACACAACCATAAAAGCCATATTCGATTAGAAGAATTTTAAATAGGTTCCAGTCTTGTTATCTTCGGGCTATTGTCGAACAGTAACTACGTATCATGTTGGTATGAGTTTTTGTTCTCGCTCTTTGTAATTGCTATTGCTTCGCTCGATGGCATTCACTGATGAACTTATTAACGTGTTGTTGGGTTATTGTACTATAGATTTGAGGTAACAGAATGATGATATTTTTCTTAGAGTACAAAGTTTTTTTATATCATTATGGGTACCTATGTAATGAAGCAGGAGTCATCATCGTATCATCATTTCTTTTTGCCCCTGGAATTTCGTACGAGGCGATTAAGAGGTTAAAGCAGTATTGTCAGTGTAAGAAAAGGAAATCTTATAATAAAACCCTATGGCAAACCGCTTAGCCAGTATGGTAAGATTAGGCTAATGTCCTCTTCGTAAGGAGGAGACCTACGGTCAACATTAGAGCGCTATGGACAGAGATATACATAGATATCTTTGAATCTACCTATAGGCACAGTATAAGTATAGTACTGTAGATCAGTCTTGTGTTAATACTGCACTAATTACGTTATAACATATATGTTATGAGAAGACACTCTTTTAATAAATATGTATTTATTAAATATCTTCTTATTAACTGATAGTTATATTCTTATCCTTTAATATATGTGTTTGTGATATCATAAAATTTAGCATAAAAGTAGTATTTGAAATGGAGAAATTTTTTATTGGCTTTATCGATCAATTAATATGTCCCGGTCACGCGAATGTATTTACGAATACGACTAATAGAACTAATAAAACAATGAATATACATTCTGTCTGTTTGTTTTTGTCTAGTGTGTCAAATAAAATTTTACAAATAATGTCAATCTCAAGTCTGAACTTATAGGTACATTATTAGATTCGTAACCATTAATATCACTTTCTGTTTTTTGTGATATATGATTTAAACCATCGCCAGTGTGTATATATATATATATATATATATATATATATATATATATGTATAATATATATATATATATACATATATACTTGAGCCTACTCATAGATTTGACATGTAATGACACCCTTCTTTAAGGTAGTTTTTTTTCTTAACTGGTGAGAATATTCCACGTCATCCCATGGATTTCTTCAGCTGTCCAACTTATAATTATCGTTCATCTATAAGTAACAGATGAAGGTTATTCTGGCTCATCAGTTACTTTATTTTTATAGTAATGAGTTAAATGTCATCAATATTTTTATGATTAGAAACAAATGACCAAAAAAATTTTATATTATCCTTAATACTACTTTCTACCCTACAAATATACTCTCTATGACATTTTTGTGATTCCTTTTTAAAACGTTCTCTATATAAAGAAAAAATTTCATAGTCTGACCTATTTCCATACTTCTTCCATCTAATCCACGCCTGATTTTTATTTTTGAAAATATGTATTAAAGAAGATGTAAACCAAGGCGGAAAGCGAGACGATTTTGTGAATTTAACTGGACCATGTTTTTTTATTAACCCATAAATAACTTCATAAAAACTATTAACGGCAGACAGCCGATTTATCTTTAAATAAATCATCCCAATCTACTTTAGATTTTTATTAATGAATAATTAGCGCCTTTAAAGAAATAATAAGTTTTAATTTTAGAAGGTATACAATAAAAACTATTAACGGCAGATTCAGCCGATTTATCTTTAAATAAATCATCCCAATCTACTTTAGACAATTCTTCATTTATTAATGAATAATTAGCGCCTTTAAAGAAATAATAAGTTTTAATTTTAGAAGGTATACACTTTAAATTAAATTAAAGTCTTGTGCACTAATGAAGACACTCCTTCTTATTAACTGATAGTTGTAATTCTTTAATATATGTGTTTGTGATATTATAAAATTTAGCATAAACGTAGTATTTGAAGTAGAGAAATTTTTTAATGGCTTTATCGATCAAGTAATATGTCCCGGTCACGCGAATGTATTTACGAATACAACTTAGAACTAATAAAACAACTTTGAACACAAATCAATTTCAATATAATATTAGCTGTCAGGCCACGTCAAATTACCGTCCTAATGAACTATACGGCACTTTTTTTTCTCACGTATTGGTAGACGAGTGTCTAATGTTTCTCAAGTTAGTCATTTTAATGTTCATATCATTGTCTAGTCCGATAATACCCACTGACATTTTTAGTTTCAAGTATTTATTATATAATTTTATTAAGAGGGTATTTGCAGGTTTTAAAATTATAAAAAAAATAAAATACCAGAAAATGAATTGCCAATGCACTATTGGCAATTTATTTCAATTTATAGGTTCGCTATAACTTAATTTAGTCGCGGTAATTGTTTGGCATGTCTTATTTTGTCTGTGCCCCTCTTAGATCGTGTCCTATTAAAAACAAGTCTAAGAAAGTAAGCTATTGCGGCCCATAAATTATTAATACCGGAGAATTCTTTTGCACACGACTCGAAGATCCCAAATATTCAGTACTTATAATATATCAGTAGATACGCGATCTCTTTAAATATATGTTTATAATCTATATTTTACTTTATCCTGCTACTTATATTATTTTAATTATATTTTTAATATAAATAATTATGTGATGTTTGAGAAATTAGAAACATCTATTATTTTGACGTGGTAGACGTTTTTAATAATTAGTACAAAAAATATATGAAGTTAATTTTTAGTTTACACAATTTGGTTCACATAAATCAGTGCCAACCGTTCGTCGGAAATAATTAGCAAGGTGAGGTGAGACGTGAATGGCACCGATTTTTCTCCTGTATACGCCGAAGACGCACCTTGTTTTGCAGGTGTATCGAAGTACAATACTTTTTCACAATATGTGTGTACTCCTTATTAACATTATAAACGTAAAAGTGAGGTTTTTGCTACTTCTCAGCTCCTTAACGGCTTAACCAATCTCTATAAAATTTGGTATACACGTACTATATGGAATGGAGAAGGATATAAGTTATTTTTTTTATACAACTTAGAATAAACAAGTGACGGCCCACCTGATGGAAAGTTTGACATGAGCAGTACCATGGACATAACAGAGTATACTGTTTCCTGAAACCCCCATGCGCCATAACCAATCTCTATAAAATTTGGCCATATCCCACCCTTCAAACCGTACAACTGCTATTAAAACACGAATGGAATGGACTTTTGAAAAGTCTCCCTCTGGTAAATATATATAGTAAAGTTATATTTTTATTCCGGACAATGAATATATTCCAGCTATGCAGATGAAATCGCGTGTAAAAATTAGTATAATATATAACAATAGATCAACATTTTATTTACTTTTCCAAAAAGACCTCAATGGTAATTAATGAGTTCAAATCAAGCCAAACATCCTTATTTTTCAACTAGTTGTTTCTAGCGACTCAACAGGCGTGAAGTATAATGTACCCTATATCTTAAGATAGGAAATAATAAAACCTGTGTACCAAATTCATTCAAATTGGTTCAGCCGTTTAAGAATGATTGAATAACAAACATACAAACATCTTTATATGAAAATCTATATTAGGAAAGATTTGTCAGTTTGTTTATTTGTGATGAATAAAATAGAAAAACCAATCAATCGATTTAAAAAAATCCTTCACGTATAGAATCATTTATACATAAACATACATATACATGTCCACTGATAAACATTATCAGCAAGTAACATAGGTTACATATTAGGTATTTTCAAAAATTCTATCTACCCGTGTAAAGCCAGGTTAGATAACTAGTATCTTATTAAACTATCACATTTTTAATACAAGTGTTAATAGGATTATAGAAGGCTAAGACAATTTAATAAGAATCTATCACTACTTTAGAAATTATGGTAATGTGATATCAAAGTTATGTGTTGCCAAAGTTAACTAAAAGATTTACGACTTTATTTTTCGGATCTCCGTGTAATGACGAAGTTAAAATATATATTATATATAAATAACGTAAGGAATTATGAGAAATAAGACATCTTTACATACAAAAGAAGGAAAACTCGAAATAAATCCTTATACCAAATCACGTAACAGGGTAATAAATACTATTACTAATATCTCCTCTAACGAAGGGAATCCTATTATCAGGGCTGGTTGCTCTGTACTGATATTTTCATAGCATTTCAATTCCATTCGTTATTAGTTACGCAAGCTATAGCCTGCCAATCGTCCATTTCAGCTTGCTTTACGAATATCTACCATCACCTGCTTATTTCCTGAATATATTACTATACATTTTTTATTGCAAAAATATTAAAGTATTATTTATATGAATGCCTCCCCAACAAAGATATAGGTATTGCATTAAAATTATACATTTGATAAGTAAATGTCGAGAGGATGGTTCGTCCCCAAAGGTATGTTGTTATTTATTGATGTTCTCATAAAAGGCGCACCGCGGCGCGGACGCGGCCACATTTAAACTCCATTACCGACATTACTCTTGTGATAATTGAAAAGTTCTACATTGTTGATAAATATTATTTTCAATTAATTTAAATAGGAAAATATTATCAATTTTACTGTATTTTTCAACAAACTCGTGTGTACACATTCTAGAAAAAATATTGTGATTAATTTAGAATCATGTAAGTAATAAGATATGGGTACATAAAAATTCTAGAATACTCACATAATCCTTGTCATATATATTATAGGTCAGCGATACTTGAAGTGGGTTCCGCGGAACCTAGGAGTTTCTGAGAAAATACTCCATGGTTCCGTGGAATAACTTTTGACTGTGAACTTATAAATTATTATAAGCAAATATATAATAGCACAAAATACGTAATGAGAAAAACTCATCACTGCTATATAAGTAGGTAGGTAGTAAGCGAGAATTTTTTAAAATATTTCTAACAAATTTGTTTTTCTTTTTTAAATTACCGTGTCTTTGATTTGGTGGGTGTTTCATTATTTTAAAAGTTTAGGAACTCTTGCTGTATATATAATTGTTTCATCACACTGAACTTGATATATATATATATATATATATATATATATATATATATATATATATATATATATATATACTTCTTCCATTGAACAACAACGCAGTCTAAAAGAGATTTCTTCCATATATTCGGATAAGAAGTAGTGAGTGGGCAGTAGTAGTGCAAGACAGAAATTAAAATAAATATTTACATAAATTATAAATAATTATATATATACATACATACACATACATACATATATACACACACACATATACATATATATAAATATGAGTTTTGTAAACACAGCACTTGCTGCGGTAAACTACAAAACACTTACAAAACGTAATAATATATAACATAATATTATATGTATAATATAAAACTTTAATATTCTGAAATCATATTGTATGGATGCATATGTTGAACTAAGACAATAGATAAATTTTATTCAACAAAAGTCACTGATTATTTTCGAACTGAATGCAGAATTATCGAAAGGTTATTAACAAGGCCCACCTAAGGAGAAGCTTCATCAATCTCCGTGGCCAGTTACAAAGGACCTTAACAAAGAATTATGGGTCTTTATGTATAGTCGCTACTATGTTGAAGAATTATTACTTCATTTTAATGACCACTTCGTGATTAGACATTGCCTTTCCGTGGCTCTATAGCTTTATTACATAAATCTCGAGAGAATACGACCGGTGCAATAACGACGAAAATTTCTTACCCACTAATGTTCGAAGTGTTCATTAAAATATCAGTCAGTTTACCAGCAAGTAGTCAACGGAAAATGATAATATAAAAACTGCCGCAGGACTGTATGTTATATTATATTACACGAGCGCATTCGAGAAAGAATCGACTCGATCTGGCTTTATTGATACAAATTAGTACTTAACTAAAAACAATCGAAAAAGTTTTAGAATAAGTAAAGCCATTGCAATAATGATTTTAAATTACTCGTCATTTTAATTAATTGAATATTAAACTTTTTAAAAATGCGATATAATTTTATTTTATTAAGAATTTGAAGTACTTTTCAAGCACTTTCAAAGAATACTATACTTATTATATAATTAATTTTAAATTATATACTAAATGTATTTAAATTTTTACACCTATTTACATTGTATTGAGTATGTAGTACTCGCATACTATTTTCAATTCTATCACTATATTACTTTCCAAAATCCAACTTGAAAAAACAGTATAATAGTAATAATAAGTTTAATAGAAAAGAATATAATATATTAAATTTGCATTGCAATCCTATATTGTAATTTCTACTATGTTTTATTTATATATACTTTCTATATATTTAAAGCAATAATAGCAATACTGGGAAAACGAAGGTGCTTTTGTACGAGTAGTATAATATTTCTACTATGTATACTATCTTTCAGATAAGATAAGCTGTGTAAAATTTTGATGCTCTCGAGCGCAGTCATGATAAAGTTTGATGACCACTGATGTTATTTATTTGTTTAGTAATTTATATAAGGTTTGTTACTGTTTTATTGACCGTATTAAATCAAGCCCCAATAAGGCAGCCATTCATGTTTATTTTTACGAAGTTCTGCTTGGTATGCCCAATAAATTATTAACTTGGTCACTTTTATCACGGGTCCGTGGTAACATTTATCGGACGTTGATAGATATGAGGATATAGGTGAAAATAATTATCTACATTAAATAAAATCTATAAACACAACCCTTATAAAATATTTACGAATAGGTTTATTTATCTATGCTATAAGGTTCAAATAATCCATTTATACAAGTCAGATACATTATTTAGAAAATTTTAGGTAGGTATGTAACATATAGTAGCTAGCATTTTTTTTATTTTTCAGTTTTGATGTCAATGTTTTTTTGGCTTTTTTTTATTATATAAATTTTGATCTTTATAACAATGTCTATTTTTCATACATGTTTGAGAAAAAAATCCATGTTTATACATACCTTTATAAATGTAACTATTTAAGATTTTTCATTCCCTGAGATAAGAGAGTGTTTTCCATTTTTTTTCATGATCATAAGTCAAAACTATAGTTAAAATTAATAATTTAGATTTAAAATACACAAATGAAGCCCTTATATATGACACTTGTTTTGAAACACAGCCATGCAAACACAACTGCTTCACGTAATATGTGTCGAAACAATATGTAAGATTACAAATTTTATATCGAAGACAAATAAAGCTGCACTGTAAAGGTTCCATTGAGCTTTTTTTAGTATTCATTCATTTAAATTCACATCCGCTGTAGACTGTCCACCGCTGAATATAGGCCTCCCTCTTGGGCGTTATGCCAATAGTTGCTATGCTTGGCAGGCGTATTGGCAAGTTCATTGAGCTTTAATGATATTTTAAAAGAGACGCTGCTGCCCATTCCTTGATCATTAAGTTTTATTAGTCGCCTCTTACGACATCCACGGAAAAGGTGGTCGATTTTATGCTGGGATTACACCTAAAAATGTAACTCTTTTGTCACGTAACTAAATAATAAAAAGTGAAAAAGAGACCATAAGCAAATTGCCAAATAATAAAATTAGAACATTTTAATAAAAAAAAAATGATAAATAAACATATCCATGTTAAGATAGCTTCAACCACAAAGTGTTTCTCTTCTCTCGGATTTATTGATTGACAAGCGCAGAGTTCGATTAAATTCTCGCGATCCAGCACAAGCATTACCTTAACACGACGTGAACCTTATCTACTGCGAATAGCATTTATATGTTCCTTTATTTATTCAGGGTCGAATACTAATTATTTAATTAATTATTTTAATCACTTAATGCCTGAAATAAAAATAAATTATATGTCGCTGTATTTGAACATTAAATTGTTCTGTGATAGTTTTAGTATATTAAAAATATTTATATTGTGCACTTAAATGAATATACGCACTATTCTTTACGATAATAAGTAAAAAACGTCTGCGTAAACGTTAAAGGCAAATAATGTAATAATTACACTCGTACGGTCATAGATATATTATACAATTTTCGTTTAATAAACTTTACTTATTATATCGTTAATTTACTAGTGCTACTTAAAAGTACTCAAATATATTTGTCAAATTATAAACTTGCAACTAGGTTAATTAAAAAAAGAATGTTCAGTAAATTCTCATTTACTTCGTAATTTAATAACAAGTTGCAACACTAATAAGATCAATTAGAATACAGACGCTTGCCTCCTAGCATGGATATAAATCTTGCAGTAAGTTTTTATTGGGCCCCAAAAAATCTCTGATCATGACGAACCATTCATGTGTAATTGGGTTCAGCGGCTTCACATAAAATATGAGTTCTCGGCTTGAGGAGATTTTATAGAGAACATAAACACTTTATTGTGTTTTTGTCTGCTTCCCTTCATATACTGTTCGTTCGCTTGTGCTCTCCGCTGATCTTGCTATTTAATGGGAAACTGAAAAATAAAGTAAACAACTTCTTTAGATAACAAATTATTCTCTAATTTATCGTGTTTTCTATCTATTGACAATCTGCTAATTAAGTGGTCGAGATATTTTATTTATTTTTTTATTTATATAGTATAATTTTAAATTAAGCTATTTGGCTATACGGTGACGTATTTATATAGTCTGTCAAACATAAAATAATTAATGACATATCATTTATAATAATCACTGTCAGCTAAATTAGTTTTTAAATATTTATAGAAGAAAATGTTTATTTGATGAAGATACCACCCATAAAATGAAAGAATCTGTCACATTTGAAAGTAAAGGATTCGCAAGTTATTACAAAACATGTTCAAGACGGTTTCTTTTTTCATTCAAATGAGTAGATAACAGTGGAAAGCTGTTACGCTCCTGTTGTTATATAAAGCATAACTGCAATTCGAGTTATAGACAAAGGTGTGAGACAGAGAAACACCAAAATCGCTATTCAAAATTTTCCGAACGAGTTCCACTTCAGGTGAGATTCATTTAAGCATAAAATTACATTGTCTCCCCGACATTGTCGTGTGGCAATGAACTGCACTTTGACATAAAATCGCTTTGGATGTTATAAATCCATTTCATTACCTTAATAAAGGATGACTAAGGAATTCGATAGGAGAGCCATCATTTTCTTCGCCCATCTCTTACGTCGTGATAGTTAATTAGGTAATTTCAGATCAACGTAATGACAGCTATAATAGTGTACAACATAATTATAATGACTTTGTTACATTAATTTATTACTTATATAGGTGTATCCTTTTATTTATTTTAAGAGAATGATTTGTCAATAAAAGTTAAATAAAAAATGTAATGATGATAATTTTCAAAAATTATTATTTTTATTTTTCATTCTATTTTATAATTGACTTTCAGGAATTATTTTCTATTTGGTCAATGGACATTGCAGTGCATTTAGTGATGTTTATGGTATTATTTATGTCTGTAGGCGATGGTTACTATTGCTCAACAGGTGGAGTATCAGCTTTTTTTTATACCACTGAGGTAGCAAACAAGCATACGGCCCACCTGTTGGTAAGCGTAAATAAGCTTATTATTTGTCATTCAAACATACAAAAAAAAATAGAGTGTGAAAACGGAGAGAAATTGGTGGCTAATCTTAGAAAAACAACTCCGTAAATTTGTTAACAATCTTAAATTTATATACGGTAACTAGTTACTTAGCTACATTGCTTGTTGTAAATAATTGCATATTCGTCAATTACATCATCATCATCATCTTTCTATCCTTATCCTAATTATTATTTGGGGTCGGCGTAATATGTTGTTCCATATTATAAACACAATATGTTTTTCCATAATACATTTGTTTATGGTTTACGGTATGGAAAGGACTGAGGAAAAAGAAAAGGAACGTTGGAAACGCGTATAAGAAATTGGTAAATGGGAGGAATAAGGGAATTATGTGGAAAAGGAAGGGGGAGGGGATACTGCTATTCGGAAAGGACTGGGACACTACAGCGGCTCAGGAGATCGGGGTCGCATACCCATATGCCCTTATTCTAAAATCGGCAGATTTCTAGAGAAGAAAACTCCTGACATTCTTCACACACACTCCTGATATTCGTCAATTACAATAAAAAAAAATTACAGTAAAATGAATTATTATTAAATGTAACAGAACATTTTTAAATAATACTTAGGTATTCTTAATTTTACACTGTGAACGTTCATACTTACTTGTGTACGCATTAAAACATAAGTCGTAATTGTAATTTCTTCGCCCCAAAACCTGTGGTGGTTTCACACTAAAGGTTAAAAATTAGACTAATTTCAGCACAATACACTGTTTTTTTGGCGTGTACTGGTAAGTGCGAATAAGTATAAAATTAGATGTTAACAATCGCTAACAAGGTGAAAATACTAAGAGAACGTTCAGTAAACTTGTTTCACTTGATGTTTTATTATATTGGATGGTACCTTTGTCAATCAGAAGCGGTTAAATCTACATTTTGTGGTCGAAATAATAACCCTCGTTAGCTTCAACAAAGAGTCAGGATATATGTAAATTCGTGAAAGGATCGGCTACAAAAAATCCAGGCTTATGCGTGTAACAGGTGTGTTCCTGACTCGTGATTTCTAATAGTTGGTATTCATGCAGTAATTACAGGATTGAATCAAACATTAAATTTATTTTTTTTACAAAACTTTTACCGTCGTTGAACAGCAGCGAAACTTTCGATTTTTTGTTATTGTAAGATACGCATTATTAAATATTACATAATTATAATAGCGTGGTAGGGTAAGTTCATTTTTTTACACGGTAGGTATTTTTGGAAATAAAGATGAAGATGTAAAATATACTTATTTTCAATAATTAAGTTTTATTAATGATATAATTATTACGTATAACATCATTATAACTAAAATATTATAATTTTAGTGTCATTATATTATTATATTTAAGTACATAGTTTTCATATCAAACGTCAAATTATGTTTGACAAACTTATGTTGCATTTGTACATTTTAAATTATGTTTAGATATCATCGTATCAGCCGTTAACTCTCTACTGCTGATCATAAGCCTTCCCCGTAAGGGGGGTATTGCCAGTGGTCACGCTTGCCAGGCGGATTGGCAACCACAGTTTGGTTTTGAGTGATGTATTAAGAGAGACGCTGCTATCGCTCTATCATTAAGTTCCCTAAGTTGCCTCTTACGACCTCCACGGAAAAGAAAGGAGTGGCCTACTCTATGCCGGTTTAGGTATAATCTTGTATTATCTTTGTAGACAATTATGTATCTACCGCGTTACTTAGAGAACCACGGAGAAATTATTGTTCGGAATATTCTAATGCATTGAAAAAGAAATGACAAAAAGACAGAGACATTGTAGAATAAATAAAACGCCAGAACTAGAGATAGGTAGGCCTTATTACAAAGATGAACCGTAATGGTTAGGTTAGAACGATATTCGAGTGAAGGTTCCATGTTCGTCATAGGACTCGAACACGCAAAAGGTAGGATGACACTTACCAGCAAGCTGGCATGAATGGAAAAGGGTAAGTAGATATGTAATGATGAAAGGGCACCTTGAATCAATGTAATGTAACACTAGCTTTTATAGTTAGACAGAATTATTTCGCACACAATATTGCGGAATATTGTTGATGATAAAGAAATGTATAGTAGTTGGATGGCAGTGGCTCCTGAAATGCGCGGCGTGGGCGCCTGTCTAGATTTACGAGCGGGCCGATCACTTCGCGCCTGCGCGACTTATACCTTATTACACTTTTATTGCCATATAACTTCCTTACACCACGCCTGGTTACCAGATAGCACAGTGAGAATATAATATTCATTATTTGCTCATTTCATTACAGTCATTTATGGATTACGATACCTTTATCGAGGAAGTAGAGTTAGTACCTATTACAATATTTATTCAAAATATTATGCGTTATTAAATTTATATAGTACCTAAGTAATTAGACTTAAAGTTGAGTGTATATATATATATATATATACTACTACTACTACTAGGGACTCGTAAAGGATATAGAGTTTTGTATATTGAATTCCTGTCAAACAGTGTATTGTCTGTATATATTTATTTATTTCTGTAAATAGAAATTTACCAAAGAAATAATATGAAAGTTGACATGGCAACCGGCCGTTCATGCAATAAGAAAATAAACATAACCGTTTAAACACTAGGGAAAATATAAACACTTTACAATAAGTAGGTGTAACATGTTGTATGTTATGATATATGGAATCATCTGATCTCAGGAACAGATATAAGAATAATAAATAATCAGTTCCTTATTGTAAAATGCAGTTATTCGTATTATAATAGTTTCATTCAGGATGCTAAATCGAGTTCAGTCAATAAATTAACAATCAGACATAAATGTTGTAAATTAACTATATGAAATTTATTGTGGCTGGATTATAACATATGTTAATACAGTTGATTGCTGTTCATTGTAGGAGTCATTGCGTAAAACGGTAGCCTCGTAAGCTTTCATTATAACTGTATAATAGTAGATGTTAGCTGTGTTCAAGTTTTTCCCCCAGTAGGTCGTAAGTGTCATTGTGTTAAGTGGATCGTAATTATTTTCAACTATCTTTACTAATATTATAAATGTGAAGGTACTGACCTTTGGTTACTGCGGTCAGTAACAACGGTACAAATATCGGTATGTTTGTTTTATTTTGGCGTCTTAACGTCTCAGCCAATCGACCTGAAATTAAGTATACACGTAATATTTGAGATACACATAAAATAGATACAGATAAAAGCTACTTGTTTTATAAAAATAGAATAACAGATAAAGACACAACAACACTATGGATGGAGATGCAATGGAGAAATGTAAAAATAATAAGAGAAGAAATATGTGCATAGAATAATTTACAATATGGTGTTATAGTGAGCTTAAGACGAACGAATTTATTTTTCCGAGAGTAGGTATACATATCCAACGAAGAGGATTTATTTAACTAATTAATTTTTTTATTAAAGTTTACCAGCACTAAAGATTTATAGAAAATCTTAAATTGATTATCAAGTCATAATCAATCATCTAAATCGAGTAGAGAATTAAAAGAACTTTCAACTTTGCTCGCACTTTGCTGTGATGATTAATAAGAAGTGTTATCAAACTACCAATCAAATTTTTCCCCGTTAACTTGTTATTCAATCAAGTAGATGATAATTTCTTAGTAAATGCTGGCTAACTACTTTAAAATAACTAATTGGATCAAATTTCGGCTCTATCATTAAGCAGTTTGACTAGTGCATTATACGTACCTATGTCAGTCAGTCAGTCACATTTAGGTAGGTATTTATCTACTATCAAAAAAAATTGTAAAGGATAGGTAGAGGGCAGAGATAATTTTATATGATGTAATCAATAGGTAACAATCGAACCAAACCAAGGCTTTGATCACCTGACAAATTAATATTATTAAACCATTAAAAAGATTAATACATTTTTTTTTGGAAAAGACTACTTAGTGTAGTGATACTCGTATTGTGAAGTTATGACAATTCACAATCAGCCAACGGACCGCAGGTTGGGATTAGCTGATGTAATCCGATTGCCAACATCATGCTCGATCGATGCTACCTCATATATTATTTCCCAGCGAGATAGAGAGCAACGTTGATTTATTTGCAATACTGCAATTATGCGCTTTTGCATGCTCGACTTGAGTCTAAGTATGCATGTTTGTTTGTCTTGTTTATAAGTATTTTGTAGTTAACATGGTTACCTAGTGTTTTAAAATTGCTTTTTAATTTATAATTTAAACATTTGTTCGCATATAACCCTATACCAATAGTTCTACCAATTTTTGTAATTTATTTATTTAACATACTACACTCATAAATATTTCATAACAATATAAATTCTATTAATTATTGTATAGTTTATTATTTCTCTATATTTGTAATTTCTACAGAATAAAATGTTACTTGACATGTTAATGTTAAAAAAATTAACAATTATTTAAAATTTTGTGCTACATTATCACACTGATCATCAAAGTAAATTGTCTATTAAATATTATGAGAAAACAATCACAAAATATTTTTACGGTAAAACTCAGAGTAACCAGACTCGAAAGAATTTAAAAAAGTTCGTTTCCTGCATTGGCCTGTTTTAAAATCGAACAAGGGACTTCAATTATGCAAAGTGACGTGTTTACAACTATGTTTATAACTACGAAGGCAAGGTTCAGAAATAAACATTATAGCATGGCAAAAGTTAAGGTTATTGTGGAAATTGCAAACATTGTTTTATATTTCTCTAAAACCTAAATCGGATTTTTAAAATACAAATATATACACAAGGTATTAAAACGAATAACCTAATTCACAAATCTCAAATAAAATGTAAACCGTATAACATTTTTAATTAGATAAATTTTAGAATTATTGTTTATAGGAAGAACGATCGAGGTTGATAGAAACTGTGTCTATATAATTAAACTATGTTTATATTAATAATATTTAAAATACAATTTAATTTATGGATCTGTCATTATATTGCTGCAACTTAAATTTTGATCCTTTTTATATTTAACTTAAAAAAATCAAACAATAATATGTTGTATAATATATAAAGATTGCAAAATAGTCATTATTTTTATATTGCTGACTGGATGGATGGATTAAGATGTATAAATCAGCGTGGACGTGACCTTTCTCATGCGATTTTCAGGGTACGGTGTGCGGTCGCGTTTCCCATTGACGAGCGGCGATTGATCGATGATTATATCTTTATCCCGGAGGCCCGGAGTCCGGACCTATGCACCGGGAGCGGGATGGATGGCAGCGCGATGTATTCTGATCGCGATTGAAACTTCTTGATAATTGTGAATTAATAAATTATGGCTACGTTGTTGTTGCAATGTTTTTACTATTGTTTTTATGTTTAATGTTATGCAAGTATATATGTACACCTATACATACGAGTATATACATAAAGTAATTATATTTAATTATTATTATAAAGTGATAGAAATATGTTATGAAATGTGTATCACTTGTCAACATACACGATGGCTAGAAAAAAATAATTTATATAATTATTTCTAATCTAAATTCCTAATTATTAGTAATATTTGGAAAGGCTACTAAATCTATATTTTATCAATACTTTATATTTTATCAAGCAGATCTAAAATATTAATGAAAATTGGTGATAAACAATAATTTAAATTATTGTTTATCACCAAACAATAATTTAAATGATGCACACAAATCATACATATAATGAAAATCTGCAATACTTTAGACGTTAATTGCTTTCTATTGATTTCAGGTCACTTATTTTTAGCTTAATTTTTAGAAGAGTTTCGAGATATTTTCGCCAGTTTTACATATTGCAGTGTTTAGATGATTTTTTTTTAGTATTAATATAATTCTCAATTACATTAATACTTCTTCCTTATTAAAAAAATCTTTATTTATTTCATGGATCAAATCATTGTGTTCGTGACAGGTTAACATTATTTTCGTTCTACCTGTGTCATTCACCGTGTCGTTACAGGTTGCATCGCAGCACAAAAAAACTCCTTTCAAATGTAAATCAGCACAAACCGACAAAGCAAATTGTCACAAATAAACACTGATACATTTAGTTTTTTGTGAAAGTGTATAAAAACTGTATTCGGTAAAGGGTCAGACTGAACCAATCAATCTAAGATAAAAGTATATTTCTCGTTTCTTTTTTTTATACGATTCTTTTTGATCTTTGCTTTGTATTGATGTTTGATTGTTATCCGTGAGACTTTGAATAAATACAAATGTTTCCTTTTTAAGTAGATATTGTGATGACGTCGATGTAAATAAAACAAATAATTAAAAAATATGTGTTTTATATGAATTAATTAAAAAAAATATATTATTTATTTTATTATCTATACTATAAAACATAAGAGCAGAAAAGTTAATTTTACTTTCGCAATAAATATGGAAAATAGCTAAGAAATCATTAAATTTTAAAATTTACGATTGTTTTGTCTATTTGTTTTACGTCATCATGAAACCAGATTCATAAGAATGTTACACTCTAGTGAATGCTAATAAATAAGATTTGAATACATTAATCCAAATATTGATTTAACCCTATCAGTGACGGAAGCAGGTGCTCGGTGCACGCGCCTTTCCACTCAGAATCAATAAGCGTTTCCTAACTATGAAATTAAATGATAATCACGCCTTTTTTGTATTTTTATAAAGATTTTAATAAGTACATTTGAATGTAAAGTGAGGGAATGACAACAGTTTACAGAAATTTAATTTTATTACAAATATTAATTATAATACAAATAGCTTTTATCCAAGACTTCGTCCGCGTGATCGGGACATGGTTACTGACCGAGGTTAAAAGTAATCTATGTCCTTCATTAACCGTTAAACCATTAAAGCGCTAAGAGGTAACAAACAAACAAGTCACTTTTACAATAATACCTAATATTAGTAAGGATAAACGGTGTGCTATCTCAAAGAGGAGGCAAAAATGTCGCGTGTGTACGTGAAACAAGTTATGAAAGTAGATGAAACAGTAAACATACATATCTCTTACATCATTCTTCCTCATTCAGAAGATTGAAGTAATAATTCTTCTTCATTTATCTTATGAGGGAAACTTTGTACAAAAGTCAACTGCTTGGGTACGTCTTTGCCATTTATGTTTTTGATGTGAAGTAGCTGTACTAAATGTGGTAATGTATCAGATTGTAGATTTAGATGTAGCAATAAAATATCAGATTCTTTAGAAATAGCAACACATAAGGGGTATCATAGGCATCACTTGTGTACTTAGTGATGATATATTTTGGGGATAATTGTCACTTTTGGTCAGATGAGCTGCTAGCTTGTTTAACATTCTATGGAGATATATTCTAATAATAAAAAAATAAATAGTACTTTTTTAATATTTCATTTCGTCTCCTCATGTTGTGTATAGTTGTGTAATCATGCATGTGGACTTGGCGGTGATAATGTATTTTGAAATATTGTTACATTTACGATTGTTTTATGATTTAACATTACTTCAAACAGACGTAGTTTTTATAGTTAAATTTTATAATTTAAAACTAACCAATCAATTATATATTTGCATAAACATAGGTGTAGTTATAAGTTTGATGTTGTAGAAATGTAGTGCGTTATGTTTAATCATCATAAGGTATAGAAATTATTAATTATATAAACCATTAATTAAAGATAATAATAATAATATGATATAGATAATAATAATACAATACAGTTACATTATACAAAAATATATAACAATTATTCAGGTAAAACATCTATATATATTAATAAATCACAAAAAAATTTGTTATTTAATTAGATTAGAGTATGATAATAGTACTAACACAGTATATTATTCGGCTTATATTTATTGTAACCTTTATTTTTATTAACAATATTATTACATTTTTTGTAAATTAAACATGGAATATATGTTGCCGAGCCCTGATCGGACGGTGCTATTATTCATTTTAACGGTTCGCCCGCAGTCCCGCACCCACGAGGGGGTTGTGTTCGTACGTCATGTTCCACTTGATGTTACGGCCAGATATGCACTGGAGTAGGTAAGCCTTTTTAAGGCAGATGTGTAAACCCATAATTGGAGCGTATCAAAACATTAGGACCGTGATGAGACCCGTGCGATTAACGATTGTTTCTATAAGTTTCTATAAGCGATGAACGTTAGACGCACATGTATATTTTCTACAGCATATGTAGTTTGTAATTATAAATCTTTCGACTTTGTTAGTACTTAGAAATTTATTGTTTAATTTTTAAATTAATTAACTTTATAATTAAAAGAAATATACCTACCTATTATTATTGTTCAGTTTTACACTCGCCAACGTCGCAGTCAAAACGAAATCACAGAAGTTTATTATTACGAGTCTTTCGAGATTTAAATCAGTTCTGGCACATTATTTTTATCAATATTATAAATATGAGAGTGAGTTTGTTTTTTTTTTTATTTTTTACCTCTTTGCATCTTTATGGCTTAAGTAACTACTATGAAATTCACTATATACGTACTACATGAAATGGAGAAAACTACGAGTACTTTTTGTCCCGGTCAGCGAACAGAGCTGATCATGCGGTCAAAGTCGTGTATAAAAACTAGTACTCAATAATTTTCAAAATGGTTATGGTTTGGAATTCTTTGTAAAGTTACAAATTAGATGACCATTAAGCAAACTGTCGTATTAACTAAGTATATAAGGAATAATCAATGAAAGTTACAAATACACATAAAAAAGACATGAATTGAAATCTTCCTCTTTTAAATCACTTAAAATCTGCTATTTTTCCATTAACTTTGCAAATCTAGTTTAACCAACTAATTAGTTTAACTATATAATTAACAGTTATTTGGTTTGTAAATTAAGTTTTTATAGGAAATTTATCTAATCCTGTCATTGTGAACAACACTGATATCCACGATAACGCGAGAGTTGATGAGTCTAAACTGTGTGAAATACAAGACAAACAGGTATAGCTAATTTATAGTCTGTTATCTTTATGTCGAAAACTAATTAATAACTTTTTAATTATTTACTACATTTAAAATTCAGAATAGTATATAAGAAATTTGTGAATAATTATTATATCAATTTTGAAAACAAATAAATAGAGCGCATTCGGGTAATTTGAAAATACAGAGTTAGTAGCATACACTAACATTTGTAGTTACCTTATATAAAAAATTTGAGTAATTAATAATAGCGTTCACCGCAAAAAAGATGCCGTTTGTCGTATATCTTTACTTTCAGGGCGCTTCCCTAGATAATAAGTTGAGTCTGGGGATTTTTGGCGTCGATATATCTAGCGACGTCCAGTTTTGCGGTCATCTGGAAGAAAAAGCTAAGATAGCTTCCAAAAAGTTGGGGGTGCTCAATAGGGTGAGACGGTATTTCACGCCGAAACACCGCCTGAAACTGTATAAAGATCAAGTGAGGCCACATATGGAATACTGTTCTCACCTGTGGGCAGGAGCGCCACATTACCAACTCCTTCCGTTAGACCATATTCAAAGTCTGGCAGCTCGAATTGTGGACGATCGGCGCCTTACTGTCCGACTCGACCCATTGAAACTGCGTAGAGATGTTGCATCTCTGTGCATCTTCTACTGAATTTATCGTGGAGAGTACTCTGAGGAATTGTTCGGATTGATACCTGCTGCTGATTTTCACCATCGTACAACCCGCCAAAAACTAAAATTTCATCCCAACCATCTGGACGAATGGCGGTCCTCCACCGTGCCTTTTTCAAGGCACTTTCTTTCACGCACAACCACTCTTTGGAATCAACTTCCATTAGCAGTATTTCCGAACCAATACGATAACATAACCTTCAAGAAAAGAGCATATTCCCTTTTAAAAGGTCGATAGCACACCTGCAATGCCGTTGGTGTTGTGGACGTTCATGAGCGGCGGTAGTCACTTACTATCAGATGAGCCGCATGCTCGTTTGCCCCCTGTGTTGTAAAAAAAAAATTAACCGAATTACCCGCACCTATTACCTATGTACATCATCATCATCATTGTAGCCTTTGTCCGTCCATTGCTGGACAAAGGCCTTCCTCATACCTATGTATATATTACCTTTATTAATTGTTTTTATTTTTATAAATTCATGGCAGAAACATTGTCAGAAATAAGCCACAAGGGTTACGAATTATTTATTATCCGTTTATTAATTTCTTCTTTCTATATATCATCAACAGAACAGTAAAATATCTACTTCACTGAAATAAGTCAGATCTCGCGGCGGTGTCTGCGTCTATTAGGACAAAAGTAAACCTTTATAGAATGTGGTCTATTTATGTATTGGAATTTATTTAATACCGACTAGCCGTTAAAATATTATTGAGTAATGGATATCAAACAAAGTTTGATCTATAATATTAGAAGGCTAGTTGACACTTAATAGCTACTACAATATTTTACAAAACTGATGTGTTTTGCGGACGTCCGTATCGCTGGTTAGTTGATTTTTCTTTTTTTATGGGTGAAAATGGTATGCGCTGCGCTAACGGTATACGCTTGCGGAGCACCAGTAAAGGGTGATAGATGAGAATGAAAACAAGCCCATCGTGATGAATTCATCAGGAATTAACCATGATAGTTTCCAGGGAGAACCGCGTGGAGGTCGACCTGGGATTCTCAGTCTCTATTACTAACAATCCCTTTCCCCCTTGGTTAGTTGATTAGAATTATTATTGATTACCATTAGTATGGGTGCGACTGCCAATACTCAAAGATTAACTATTATTTCTATTACCAGTAGTTCTACAACCTTAGCCATCAACCTCCGACAATATACTACAATGTTTGGTAATTTTGGAATGTATACCTACTTGAAATTTACATTACATAACTGTATATATGTAGATATAGTTTTTACGTAGAAAGAGTAAGCCGGGTTAGAACAGAAATCCCTATCATTCACGTCAAATCTTAAAAAATAGGGTAATTTATCAGAGCAGGTAACTGTTTGCATATGAAATCGTGTATTACCCTAAAGGCGACTGGTGACTTAAACATACATCAATTCACTGTGATAATACTTTCAGTAGAGTTATTTGGAAGTAAGTAGGTAATTTAGTAGTAAAATGTCTGATCTTTTTTTAAAATTTTACGATAAATCACAAAGAAGGAATTATTATATAATGGTATGTACTCGTATGTATTTAATTTCTTTTTATATCTGGTACAAATACTTAACAAAACAATAACATATATTATCAATTAACAGGAAGACATTCTCATATTATTTTCATTAATCCTCAAAAAATAAATCTACCTATTTTGGTAATATAAATACATAGAATATTACATTTGTTGAAAACTTTCAAATACTCAAATAACATAGACAGTGGGGGGAAAAAGGGGTTTTCAGTAATAGAGGGACTAGCGGTTCCTCAATGCGGTTCTCCCTGGAAACCATCGTGGCTAATTCTTAGTGAATTCATCACTATAGGCCAATTCACTTGTTTTGGTTTTCATCCTTAACCGGTGCCCCGCCAGTGTATACTGATAGTGTATGCGCGGTTACTATTCCATTATCATTCATAAAAAAATAAGCAGTAAGTCAAAAGATCTATTTTACTGTTATTTTAAGTCACTATAATATATTTTTGAAGTATTTTACATAATTACATTTATACAACTTAGTTTTCAATAACAAGTAGCGCCACCTAGTTATTGAAAATATATCAAAATATTCACAAATTGACAATTCATTTACTTAAATTTAGACAACGTGTAATATATAATATTTGATAAAAAAAAATTCTATAATAATATAGTTAAGTAAATATTTACGAAAGTAAAATCTATTTACAAAAATTTTGTTAGTTATAATTAAATACTATATTAGTTAATTTAGCTTTACATGTAAGAAATATACTTATAGTACCATTCATATATTTATTTGGACCTCAATAAACTAAATATGTATTATATTACCTATATACTCTTTATATAATTAGGATAATGGAAATATAATGATGTTACCCCTTATATATTTAATTTTGAAATATAAAAAAAATTGCATGTTTAATAATAAAGCAAGTATAATAAACACTATTTAATAATATAGAAAATTGATTAACTCAATATAGCGATGTATAGCTTGATATTATCTGCTTAATAATTAAAATTAAAACAACTTTAGATCATTTTGAAAAATGTTATTATTACTTATTCATAGGTTTAGTAATTACATAACATACTTGTCCATTAAAATGATAGATATAAATTTCCTTTAGTAGAAAATTGTTAATATACGAAAACTACAATTATTTAAAAATATATACCTAACAATAATTTTACCATAAATCGTCCTCTAGTTTACACTGGTACTCACATTTTGCAATTTATTACTATTATTTAGTGGGAAAATATATTTTATTATCACTATCTGAGTCATCAGAAGAAAATCTGACATCAATATTGTATTCTTTTTCTTTAGAGTCATTATGATAATTATTGATTTTTACTCTCTCTGTCGTAACTTCAGCATAATTTGTCTCTTGTATATGGGTTGAAGTAGAAACTTGATCCTTACTTTTCTTTTTTAATAACAATAAATCTGTAAGTCCAGTAATACTGTTTGTTACTTTCTCTGCTTTTTTACCTACGTGATCCATTAATTCAGTCACTATTCCTCCATTTGACTGTTCACAATTTAGAACAAAGAACAAACTACACGTCAATAATAAAATACACTTCATTTTGTAGATTTTCGAAAAAATAACTTAATTAAGCTTATTAATTCGACACTGTTATTTCCTTATTTTCCTGTTTGCCTCTGAACTGAACAAATAAATAAAATGGCTCGAAGATTCATTTTGATAACCAATGACCTTTTTGTACCTATATAATTCAAGATAAAACGTATAGGTATTAGTTGACTGAAGTTATATTTAGTTTCTTATTTCATTTCTATTAATTTTATTTATTATATTTCTTTTAATTCTGTGAAATCATTAAGATATATTTATATTAATCCTAATTGTCAAATAATAAAATTTTGCTAAGAAGTGTATTTTTTTCTTATATGCTTTATTAAAAATGTAAACATATAATTACTTAATATTTGAATACAGCTCTACTATAGCTACCTATTGGGCTCTTTTACAACCATTAGGACCATAACATGAAATAATGCTTACATTGTAACAGAGATGGCGTTGCAGTATACTCATATATGCTGCCATCTATTTTTTTAGATATATTAACTGTGTAGTAGACTGTACGCAAAATTTGGAGTAGCCGAATAGTTTGTCACTGATTCTAACATTTGCTACTAGATGTCACTTAGTATAATCTTAAAAATATAATAATAATTTGGAATTTATAGTTATTATAAAATATAGTAATAATAGATTATTAGAAGTTCTTATACAAAATGATTTTGTAAAAGTATTATAAAGAATCCAGATGGATTGGACGTTTACTATATCTTTATAGTATTACATCTGTAATATTAATTTCTGAACTAGGAGATCGACTTATGAAAAAAAAAAACGACTATTCAAAAATGTTTATTTAAGTTTACTTTAAATAAAAATAACTAAAAATATTTTTATTTAAATAATTATATTAATTTAACATTGGGAGTGAAAGTAAACATTATGTAATAACATTAATTAATAAATACTACACATGCGGGAAAAATTAAGGGATCAAAAAAGTCAAAATTTTCGGAATATTGAATAATGGAATAAAAATGTAATTTGAAGCTTGAAGTTTCTAATTTCATATCAATAATAAAAGAAACAAACTTTGAAGCTAAGTGAACAACTTATCCAATCCATAAGGTAGTTAAGTTGCGAGTTCTTTGGATTTTTTTAACAAAATCCATAATTAGAAACTTCAAGTTACAAATTGCTTTTTTTTTTATACAATACGACCATTTTTATCAAAGATGCAGCCATTTTAGAAATCGCCAATATGTAGATTTATTTTGATCCCTTAATTTTTTCCACTAGTATCATACACAGTCTAAAGAAAAGTGTATAAATACTCTTTATTGTGTCCACCAAAAGGTTATAATAGTAAACTTATTACGAGTATAAATAGATACAAAGAATTAAAAGAAATGTTCATATTGAGAAAACAATCGGCTGCCTTATCGCAAAAAGTAATTCTTTATACTATGCTATTTCGTTATAATTAAATGAAACGTATTAAATAGTTTTTACTACTTAAGTATAATAAAGTAATAAAGGAAAAAATAAAGTAAAAAGTAACGGTCTTGCCAATAAAGTAATAGTGGACGACGCGATGTTCTTAAGGGATGAAAATGGAATAGTTAAGAGATATTGCTTCATCTGTTTTAATATAAATTGGAATCCATCAATAGAGGATAATAGGTTGAAGTTCGATGGTTTCATGCGGAGATTGCATGGAAGTCGACTTGGCTGGCATAGGTATATTGCACTAGCAATATTACCTACTAATAGCAATATATATTACTAAATGAGGCCGTTAGTTCTTATTATTTACAATCTTCTCCTCTCGAGTTGGGTCATTTGGCTCCCAACTTGTAAATATAGTTGAGAAAATTGATGTGTGACTCATCCGACCTACTTATGCACAGATGCTGATTGTTGGATTAGGATGGTCTGTCAAAATATTTTTGAATCTATAAAACTAAGACAGTTTGCAAAATAGTATAATCAAAAAGAAAATAATATGCTTGAGCTGATTGTACGAACTTTATATTTTGCACACTACTGGCTGTATCTCATTGCTTCACTCATAGTCGTATTCTGATGTTAATATGGCAATAGCCTATAAGCACATTTTTTGAGGTATATAAAAGTATTATAAAGAATTCAGATGCCTATGATATAGCCTTCCTCAAGAAATAATTTATTAAATATAAAAAAAATAATCACATTCTACTGCGAGAGATTAGTGTGCTCAAACAGAAAAAAAAAAAACTACTTATGTTATACAGTATAAATTAACAGAATCGATTGGTAGAGTCCTTACTAATTGGCATGACAACTGACAAATTGAATTCATGTGAAGAAAGATTATCTGACCGAATGGCTGTATTGATCATGCTGCTCGTAAACAACTTTTAAGATGTCATGGTTGAGCTTTAAATGAGCAAAATTCAGTGAATTCAGTATCTGGTGATGCAGAAATTGAAGATGAAGTTAAATCAGACTGGGTCCTTCTTTTAATTGGTAAATTTAAATTATTCTTGATGAAGATGTATATTGATTAACTTTGTAAAATTTTAAGACTACATGGATCGATATTCCTGTATGGTATTCCAGAAACGTACACATAATTAGTGAAGTCTGTCCTGCTATGCTATTAATTTACTGGTATTCACTTCATTAAAAAAAAGTATGGATTCTAATAAAAAAGTGTTGAATAGCAATCACTAGTATCCCTATAAATGCAAGAAGTAAGACAACTTCCAATAAATAATGATTTAAATTGAAAAATAATTATTAAATTTCCTTTACTTTTAATTCCAAAGTATTAAATTCTAGCGTGTTTTTTTGAAGATTTCAATTTGAATTGGATCTCGTACCTACATTCATGCAGATACGTCCCTAGGGAGTTTGTTTCCAATCATACTCTTCGAGGCCATTTCAATGCCTTTGAATACTGTTTAAGCGGTTGATCTCCCGCAGTACAACTGCAGGTCGATTAAACGATGTCTTGAATACCTAATAGGAACAGAGAACGAGTCGGGAGCTCTCTCGATTCACTCTGTGCCGCATAAATTAACGGCGCGGGCATACAACCGCCGCAATTCCGCAAAAACTCCAATCGTAGGGGAAAGTTTGGCGATTAAGCTGTGAGGCGTGGCGCGGCCAGGTCTGCTCCTGACAGTTAGTGCCGCCACTTGTTATAATCCGTTAAACTTTCGACCCTCGTCAAGGTAGCTAAGAATTAATGGAAATGCTTTCTTTTCCAGATTTATGACATTCTTTTTAGATCCTCGTGCAGACAGCAAAGTTCTGAAAGCTTTGACAACCCTACGATTGCTCGCGCTCGCGCCATATCTGTGTTACGTAATTACAAAGCGCATACTACGCTCGTCCTAATAGAATTAATTTGCATCCTCTCCTATGCGAAACCCTCTTAACATGTTTGCATAAAATTTTCTGTGTTAATTTTTAATTACTCGTGTTTTAGATTCATCGTAATTCTCACGAGGAGAGGGTGCCCGTTTCGGAATACTTTAGATATTTAACAAATATGAGAATGATATCATAGGTTTTATTTTACTAGCGTAGATATTGCTTTTATGTATGCCAGTTAAACGAACAGATGATATTCTAGAAAAAAAAAAAACTAAAATAAAAAAAACAAATAATGATTGCAATGCACTTCTCAAAAAGGTTATATATATAATAAGGGAATATTTAATATATATATATATATATATATATATATATATATATATATATATATATATATATATATATATATAAAATATTCTGTTAATCTATTCACAGTTATTTAACTATAGCTTCTTTACTTCCATCAACAATAATTGTGATATATTTTATATAATGACCACGTGGTTTACTATGATATACGGCAGGGAGCTCCGCTCTGTTCAACGGTTGGACAAGAAGTGCCTACCCACTCAAATAACAATCTTTTATATCTACAGGACCGAATTCGAATAAACAAGTTAGTCAGGCCACGTGTTCTTACAATTTCATTACTTTTTATTTAAGTATCATGATAATAAATAATTATAAAATCAATTAAAATATAAATTAGTGTTTTATATACATTACAATAATAATTCATTACAAAATTTGGTATAATAACAATTTTAATATTTTGTTATATTTAAAGTTTTTATGCTGATTTCTATTAATAAATGAAGATACACATTTTGACAAAATGTTTAAGAAAATCAATATAATTTAAAATAAATATCTAACACACTTTTCATAGTTCTGTATTACTGAAATTCATATAAATACTTATAGAAATAGGTATTAATTATTTAACTTTTTAAAATAGTTACACTAATATTGCCATGTTTTCATAGATACCATTAACTATATGAGTAAATTTATTTTAAGATTAAATAATGTTATTTATTCTATTTAAAGATAATTTTCAATATTATTTCAACAAAATCATAGTAGGTAGGTACATATAAGCAGGCAGCATTTGCTCGCAAATTTCTCTCCTAAATATTTGGAATAAATGCCTAATTGGAATACCTGAGAACTCGTAATGAACGGAATTTTGTAAATAATTATAGGAATTAATATTTTAATCGCTGTTATTAATTAGAACAGCTTTAATATTATCTTGATATTTCAAAGAAGAATAGCGAGACTTCTCAGATACTATTTTCCACGAATTTTTGAAGTGGCTATAATTATATAGGTAACAACAAATTGGCAATTTCATCTAGCTTCTCATTAACTAGAAATAAATATTGGTCGGATAAAAACTATAAAATTGTTGTTAACAGCTTTTCAAACGTAGCCAATTAAAGTGCATTATCATCGTCATCAATTCAGTCGTTATCTGATCACTGCTAAAAATAAGTTTCTACTTTTGGCGGGTTTAACTAAAGTGTATATATGCATAAAATTTGAAGAACCTTGCTCTATTTTTGTGCAAGATGTTTGTGAGTTTTTTGTATCAATAATACAAGCTCTGTTTACTTTGGAGTTGGATGGTGTTATTATCATACGTTTATGTTCAATGGCATTTATTAGTTATTTACTAATATAAACATTAATTTCAAAATTTTTTGGGTCACATGCGTTTTGACCAATCTTTAACGTCTTTTTTCGTAGTATTTAGTAGGTAACTCGAAGTAATATCACATAGTACTAATAAAAAATCTTTATGTAAAAAAGAAATATGCACAATAACAAATAATAAAGTAAATATAAAGATTAGAAAAGAATGGGATACTTGATCAAAAGAATTTACAAAACTGAGTAAAAATAATCAGCTGTATTGTATTCAATCGAGCGGTTCGTTCGCAGTATAGACATTATGATAATCACAGGTAGGAGCGAAATCACAATAGGTTTGGATATAAGAAAAGAGAATTCCCAAAGACGATAACATGGCGGGAAAAACGCTACCGTAAACCGAGAGCAATAAAGACTGGCAACAATTTATTTATATGACGCATCGGGGAGAAGTTATCCACGGATCGAGGAAGGAGGTAAAATCAAGTTGATGCGTGCCAAAACCGGGATGAGAAAATAGGATGTTTCTCTATATATCGTAATC